ATAGTCATATAAATTATCAACCTGATTAGCATACCGAATGAATGAATCTTCATATAACTATGTCCCCTTCCGCTCTACGTCTTCACTGGATGTGCGTACGCCGATGTCGCCTGCTTGCGCTTCACTTCAAGGTCATTACTATCTAACTGCGTCAAAGTACCAACGTCGACTGGGCGTGTAAAAACTCGCTGAACTTGTGACCACTGGTACCAGCTGCTGGATACTGTGTATCATTAATTCAGCATGCAATCACCTCGTCCCCGTAAATTACCGAGTGACGCGTGTGCAATGACCATTGCACCAAACGCGTATAAGAAGTCGGCACCATTGATTCATTTACCGCGTACCGCCGCCTTCTCGTACACCGCACTATGACATCTGGTTTCACCCTACTGTGCGCCGTTATCTTCACTGTCCAGGGAGTTTCCTCCGAGCACCTTGAACCACTACCTAAAGATGAATTTGACGAATGCGTGAAACGATGTGGTGATCAGTATGAAGATTGTATGGGACTGATTCATAACATGTGGCTTAAATTTCGGAAGAACAGGAAACGGATAATGCAAGAAATGAACAAGTGCTGCTTGAGGGGCGAACTAGATCACCTAATGCCAGCGTCGACGAGCTTCGCCACCTGCGTCCGCGATCTGTGTCGAGCCGAAATGTGGGGGTGAGTTTGATAGAAACTAGTTCGTATTGACATGGTGCGAATTAGGTTACGATTCCTCTACACTTTATGCTGTGCTAACAGGAACGGACTCGGAGTGAACTGTTTCCCCTGTATAATCGTTTCTGTTGTGTAATCCTCATCACAGAAACAGTACACAGGCCCCCTTCCACTTGATTTAGGTCTAATACAGACAATTCCCCTAATTCCGACATCAGCACCTCACCTACAAGTACTAGTTACGCCGGGATGAAATGCACATACGCCTCGTTGATGTATTTTTCCAACTGCGGTCTATGGTAGATGGAAAATTGGTATAATACGGTTAAGAAAGCAAGGATGACCAGAATGAGAACCACAACATGGTGAAAAGCATTTTTAGAGATAAAATGGAAAGTGTTTTGTTGGACCCCCATAGGGTCCACACAGAGGCATGCAGAATTGAACCAACTTAGCTTGTGTAAGTTACTGCTGGTTGTGCAACGCTTATCACATTATATCGTCTGTCGATGCACACAGGCTCTATCTCATTATGTAAGTGGGTCAGGGCAAAGTCAAGGCGTTTCTTAAACACGGAGCTGGGGTGGAAACATGTAATTTGGGACGGCCTTTCATGCTTGGCAGACATAAAGTGTTGAACGTTCCAACGACATTCTATCCAATTATACTGCATAGTTAACTTGAGCTGGTGGCTACTTAAATTCTTTTGTGACTGAGTTGCAGTAGGTGGCGCTAGACGTGTTTTGGTTTCCTCAAAATCTGGCAGATGAGGTGACGAAGGTTTATCACTAAGTGGACTCATTTATATATGATTGGGTTGAGTGGTCGTGGATCTTCTGCCGGTTCGGAGACAAGAATGAATCACACATTCGTCCTTTCATACACTTGCAGTGACTTATGGGTTATATGAGTCTGTATGGATAGGTGTGGTGTCCCGCCTTCCACCAATGAACCGTCTAAGCTCAAACAACCTGAGATCGTCCGCAAACACGGTAACAGACATGCCAGAAGATGAATGTGGTTGGTTAGTAGCTCAGTTATGCATGCAGGTGTAATCGACCACCTACCCGACGTTTTCCTGCTTAAAGTGAGTTAAAAGACCTGGCAGACATGTAAAAATACAGTGTCGTTCCTATGATGCCGGAATTTCAGGGATTTCCTCTCATTCGTGTAACTACAAACATACCAACCTGCAATCAGAACACTCTAGGCTACCGATTGGTAAAATGTAAAATATCAAGGAAAACTTTGCTTCTTCGTTGAGCATCCCAGATGTTAGGTGGTATTAATTCCTTAGTACAAATCTGTTGACTGCATGACATACCGTAGTCCAAGTTGCTACTTTTTTCACTAATTCCCCATCTATCTGCTCGTCCTGTTTGCAAGCAAGACAAGCAACGTAGCGTCGATTACAGCCCATAGAGAACAAAACCGCAACAACTAGTTCTTGCTAATGATACTGTGCCGATACAGTTATGTGAAACCCCCAAACCCAAGACCTAGCTCTACTGAACCACATCAATCTATCACCTCTTGCTTTAGGTATGTGCAACAATACCGGAACCCAAAACTTATGATGCTTCACAGAAGTATCCATGGTGTCTGGACCCACTAGTCACTGAAATTTGATTAAACTACCATTATTCCTACGTTTACATCTCCTCTGAATTTGGCCCGTTGCCTTCGGCTTCTCCATACTTACAGTAATTTAGTGTAACGTTAACATTTCAGTGCAACTTATAACTTGACCCATCAATCCGTAGTAGAAGCAGATTCCAAAACTCCTAGCGGAACTTGCGAACTATCTGTTTTATCCCCATCTTAGTAATCTATGATCGTCTTCATGAACCCCAACTATACTGTGGTCTGTTACCAGTTGCTCTGTGAGATCGATCGCGAACTGCTGATGATTTGCTAAACCTCCTTAGTATGACAAGGGTTAAAAGCGAAGCAGATGGTTTTACTTAAGATTCATATCTCTTCAAAAGCCACTTCCAAATATTGTTAATTCATCTTAAGGACGAATGCATAACTCGATGGCCTACTACTGGGAAACACTACCAGTCAGTGCCAGTGCGGCGAAGGACGGCTGGCAATAAAGACACAAGGCCCTGAATCTCCTAACAGCCGGTGCCACTACACTTCCACCTCTTAATTACTGGCGTAATTCTGGATCGAGGGAGGCTCAGTCGCTCGCGCATTGAGGAAAGCACATCTTCATGTTTTCCTCGCACTGAACAGAAGAAAACGAGCAAAATACGCGAATTTTTCTATCAGCATTTTGTACGACAATGTGTTGAACGTCTTAAATTTATTTTTAACTTTCCTCTAAGTTACAAACAGTAATTTCCGTAGTAAAATTCGGCCAGATTTGCACAGGTACGTTGTCTAGAGACCAATGTTGCTTAAGCAAATGGGAGGCTGTAAATAATGAATAGAATTAGCGGTCTAAAATCAAGCGTTGACGAGAACGAAACAGTCCGGAATTTAATAGGGAAGAAAGCAGCAGACTTTGTTTGATTAATCTATTATCACTGTCATCCACAAGCTAACAGTAATTTGTTGGTTAATTAAGGTGGCAAGAATCCACTGTTTACCAAGGCTTGTGGAATTGCATTTTATTGTTTTCAGTGCATCAATTAAGTCTGGGTAAATGCACAAATTCGATTTGAACGAGGGTCTACGAAAGAGATTATTGCAGCGGGATTTCATGGCAATTGCGTAGTTGTTGTCTTGAGACACGTATGATACGTGCCCCCCCCCTCATCCAAGCATTTGGTACACCCACATGGCAGTCATTAGTCATGGAGATCGGAAATGCGATGCAGGTGCAGATTTCGACTTCGCTGTCGTAGAACTTGAAACAGTAACTATTTTTCTTGTCGGACCACCGAAAAAGACTGCGTCAGTACAGGAAAAGAGAGGGGATGACAGTTGGCTAACAGTAAAACCGTTGCTTGGCGTAACACGATGCATCCAGAATAGAATAAGTTTGGAGGAAATTGCGAAACCTGTGTATAAATTCCTAGGTCCCGGTGCATGCTTCAATCAGTACTTTCATACAGATTAAGCCGGAATAGTGGACAACGCTGGGATCTAATGCATCGGCACTAGAAAAATGTGCTGTTTATAGTAGGGGCGATATACTCTCTTGCCTCAGGATGCAGTTGCCGGGCACTGGTCAATCAGAGTGACCCAACAAGGATAAAACATTGTAGTTAGACAAGGCCAAATGACATTAGAATATAGATAGTTGTCGGAATCACGAGTCACAAAGAGTAAGCTCACCAACGTAAGTCAGAAAACGGCGGAGCACAGGCAAATCAACCACATATTAGTCGATAAGTGGGTATATGTCACAGTCTGCTCATAATTATTATATATAAGTACGCGTTCGATCTGTTATACATTGTTGCCGGCATTGGCATTTTAGGTTTGAAATTGCCGTTACGTGTGTTCCTATCAGGCGGTCTTTAGCTTACCGGCCTTACTTAGCCCCTCTGGCTTATGTTCGACTCCAATCGCTCACGGTCACAATGATCTGCTAAGTATTTGCGTCCACTGAAAGTCAAGCTATTACTGGACACTTTGACCGTGCATTGATTGTTCGTCTAAACTCTAGCAAAAATGCTCGACGTCATCATCATCGGGTGTTGATCGATCGTTTCGTTTCAGAATTGATCTATCCTCAGCTAGGGTTCACGGTGCTTTAAACCTCATGGCTTTGTTCGGTCCCAATGCTTACTCGTAAATAAATCATCAGGTGTGTTCATGATCATGTGGAAAAATAATGTTCCGACACTACTCCATCGAATATGGATATCCGTAAAACTGTCCGTAAACTGGAAAATCTGCCTCAGTCTTAAGCTGAGTGGCTTGTTAAACTTGACCTCTGGTGGCTGGCATGACGCTTATATTCAAAGTAAATTTTCATCTCCGCAGCACAGAGATGAACAACACTTGCAACACAAGATTTTGCGGTGCACTCTACCGTCATCGAAATACCTGAACATAGCAATACATACCGATCTAATGTGGACGATTGTGGATCTCTTTTAAAGTAGTATCATAGATCGACATTTAACCGAAGGGTGCGGACTATTGCTGTTTCTCCCGGGGGACATAAGAGACCCTATCACGGTCATCATCAGTAGTCTGTGCGACAGAGTGAAGTTTATCGGTATGGTGGTGTTGAAGTTATCACCCAAGCCAATGTATGCAGCATCCAACAGCTAGATCAGACAGCTAGGTGAAATGGTCGTATAGCATCTAGCCAGTTTGTTTATTGATGTGATTAGACAATTTCGATCCATGCAACCGCTGTTGCAGTGCAGTGCATTAGTCTTACCAACAGACTATGGTGCACGCTACGAGCTTTCTCGTCTTGTTGTTGATAATCGCAATCCCGTCGAATGCCCAAGTTACTCAGTCCGTGATCTCAAAGCTTCCAAAAGCTGAATTCGACGCATGTGTGAAGCGTTGCGGTGATCAACATGAACGGTGTTCGAGTGCGGTCAAAGATTTGTGGTTAAATTTCAAGAAAAACAAGAAGAAAATTATGAACGTGATCGTAAAATGTTGTCTTGCTGGTGAATCGGATCGCACCAAACCAGCGTCGACCAGCTTCGCGACATGTGTGCGGGATAACTGCAGGGCTCAAATGTGGGGGTAAGTTGAACTGACTTACTTGAACTGGTCATGAGAAGTATCTAGAATCTGAGACTGAAAGTGAGAAGAATACTTGTATGCGTCTCCGGATTACGACACGAAATTGATCTTTGTACCGCAGCCTAGATAGTTCACTTTTTCTTAGAACTTATCATCTGCCCGCTGTCACTGAGGCAACTCGCTGTCATTTGTAGCAAATGAAATGCTTTCGTGGTCAGATAGAAGTAGATTATACGAATCTTATAACATGGTAAACCTAATGCTAATGACCGATGTACTAAAACGTTAAGTTATCATGACCCGAGAAACCATGTCTGTAGCGGCGCAGGACAATATGTCCCAGAGTAACCACGTTTTGCATATGTGCCAAGCATAGGTAAAATGTTGCGATTCACGTAACAGCGATTTGGTGGATCTTTGATGCCAATGACAACGTTTGGCTGTAGGAGTGTTTAGACCCATTTGGCTTCCTCTTGGCATAATTCATCTATTAATTTTTCCCACGCTAGTATGGCTATTGGGATATTCAGGTCAAGATAACGCGTGAGTTTTTTCTTAATGTCGCTACATTTTCACGTAACCTGAATGGGATTAACATATTATACCACAGATAAGTACATCTAAACAGGAAACAGTGGGAACGCAAGCTTAATCTAGCCTTTGGCATAATCACTGCATAAACTTTGTTGGGAATCTCTCGAATTGAGCCATATTGCAGTTCCAGTGGTGTCGGAACATATTGACCTCTTCGCAAATATTCCTTCAGAAGTCGACAATAACATGTTACGAGAACAGCGCCGAATTATTGGCTAGAGCAGGTATGTTTATTAGCAGGTCGTCTACGCTTTCCAACCAGGTATTGGACGGGTGCACGCGATTAAAAGATAGGTGCTGATGTCATAGTGGAATAAATCTAGCTGTCCCTTTGCATAGCAACCATAAAATGCCTTTGAGTTTAAGGGTTTTATATAATTTCTACGATTTTCACATAGCAATGAAGCACATCAGAAAACATCATAATAAGCATGGCAAAATCAATAATTTGGGTAATCCATACCATCTGAGAAAAATAGTGCCGACGGGACGAATTCTTTCAAATCTCAGCAAATCGAATAGGCCGTTTTGTTCCATTTGTCTGAGAGATTCACATATGTCTGTTTTAGTCGTCGAACCTTTTGTCATTAGTGAAAGATTTTGACAAACTTGGAGGGATCTTCAAGTAATACGCTCATCTTGCGGTGGTATTCAATTTTGTGCATGAGAAAAATATCCTCGCCTTTGTCTGGCAACGACAATGTAACCTCCTCCTTTTTTCTTCAGTGCTTCTATCTTGTCTAAGTTCTCTTGTGTCAGTAACTTCTTGACTGTGATTACGTGGGTCAAATACTGGTAACACGGTTGAATTTGAGCAACCTTACTCTTCTCACCAATTAGTTCGTTTGTAGGCACCAATTCAGTCACTTGTGCGTAAATATTTTCATACTGAACTTCTAGTTCAAGCTGGTTGTGTCCTAAATAAGGGTAGCAAAAGGTTGAACCTAAGCACAACACTTCAATGGTCGTTCTATCTAGCTGCAATGATGAAAGGTTGTGAACTTAGCGCTCTTCGAAGGTATTCAGCATCTGTGACACACTATCTGATGTGTCGGCAGAAAACCTCACTGACCCAATTTCTCTCTCCATTTGTTTAGGACTGGTAGGTTTTCACGTATATTTTTAAGGCATAATTCCAGATGATGGGGCAGAAGTGAGTGCACCAATTTAATGTCATCCACAAATAAAAATGGATGCCCTTGCCCAATGTAATCAGACATATAGTTTATGTAAATGAGGAAAAGCAAGGTGCCCAACTCACCGTCCAAAACAACGCCACTAAGGACATTTCTGAAATTAGAACTCTATTGATTAAATTGTACTCTATGACCGATCGTTCAGATATGACTCGAAGCAGCTCGATAGAGGATCGCTGATTCCATAAGACTGCAGCATGGCCCGCTGTGGTTTATGCACTGCGCAAACGCTTTCGGCATATTCAGATAGAGGATGATTTCCAGACCGCCATCAAGTGTCCCCATAAGTATCTCCAGATCTGTCAAAAGATGCCTCGTTATTCGAATTATGATATTCCCATCTCACCGTCGGAGAGGCAGGTTGCAAATCTTATGTGACGGTGGGAAGGAGGTCAGCTGGTTGCTGTTGAACGAAGAATCGGTTCCATTGTCATATACTGAACCGCAGCAATGTACAGCTTTTCTCAGCTGATTTAATGAAGGTTTCTCAAATCCTGGTGATGTTTAGGTGTTAATGGCTGTTGGGCAATTCCACAGAGTACTCTAGAAACACGGTGCTCAGCAATGCCATTCATTCCTATTTGAAACCTGGGATAGTTGCTGTGATATCCAGTAAGGAGTAGTTCTTTCGAATTTCCAATATGCCTAAGCTCAGAGCTTGCATTTGGTTTTCAAATGGTGCCCCATAATATATGGGCACATTGCTCATGTTAGGGGTATGTTAATTGACAGTATCTTCTGTGGGGTTTGTAATGGTATTTGCCTTGTGTCTGTGTGCAGTATCTTCAGGCCGTACCAGGTCAGCATTATCATGCAATGATACTTCGTGAGTGGATTTGTGAACTTGTTGCTTGTGAGTCAATTTCGATAAGAGCGGCGTTGATGATCTGTCGAGGTCCACCTGATTGTCATTACAATCGGTGTAAGTGTGAGAATTATGTACTTCTGTAGGATTTCTATTACATGCAAACCGCTTTTGTACTGGCGTTTGGTCGCTTCTAATCGAAATGCGCCTAAAGTCATTCAGTGCTGCACTGAGCCCATTGTCATAGAAAAATGGTTCAGCCGTTACGTCATCTGCGCATTTGAGGAGGATGAAGTATGATCCCATTTATACCTACTTTTGGAGCCTGATATAGACAGTTAGAGCAACTCATATTGCATGCCTGGAGAAAAATACGTTGAAGTTTAGCTATACTCATTCTGTTAGATATGTTAAGCACAATCACATCCTTTGATCTGCGTAAAAGTCCCATAGTTTGAGCTGTGATAGAACGGAACTAGCCGTGTGTAGTCTATCGAATTTCACGTCCATTGAGTCTTTATTAACTTACAGGAAGATTGGACTTGACCGTGTTTTGCGCCAAAGTGCATCAGTTCTGTTTTCGGTGATGTAACTTTCTTCTCGAAAGCAGTGATGCGGTATTTCGCTTCAGGTAGCAAAACAATTCTATCTTCAGAGTGGGCATCCACTGCTTCTTGTTTTTCGTTATGTTAGCTGAGCACTTCTCATGTTGGTAGCATTATCGTTGCAGACTGCTACTGGTTTTTTGTCTTCGTTCAAGCTATGACATTTCGGCTTTTACTACAGCTAACAGGCACTTCAGTGCGTACTCCTGGCAGTCAATACTGATTGCTAATCGTGTTACAGTGTCAAAATGGAACGTACTATGGTATCTAATAATCAGAAAGTAGCTCGTTTTGTGCAATATAGTATAAATGGAATAGCAACCAACCGTTCTACTTCAGTATGCTGGTTAGCCGCTCTGATTAGTGGAAGTGAAGGCGTCCGATTCAGCGATGGAATTTCTTTTTTGGCAGGTATATTCAGTCTTGTATGTATGCCGCCAATCATGCCACATGCTGAGGCTGATGTTGCAGTCATGATGTTACTTCATCGCAGTTGGGCTAAACCAGCATACACTTATACTTGGAGGTTTTAAGACGGATAAATTTCATTCCACTTTATTTGGTTTGTTCTGCCTAGCGGAATAATCTTCTATTAACTTGCACATGTCGCTTAAATTAACTGTTGTTATATTTGTTAACTTTATTTCGTTTATGGCATTTTTGAATAATTTGTGGACGATTTGTGCTTATCGCGGTTTCGTTGCTAACCAGCTTACTCCATATGCTAATTGAGCGTTGAGTTATGTCGGCATACCCGTTGCTTTAACAGATATATTTTATTAGATAATGTCATTTCAAGTGATTGGCTGTTGCTTGACATCCCCGGTATGGCTGCGCTTGCTGTGCATGTTGATAAGGTGCCTACCTGTCTATTACCCACTATCTCGTCCATACTAGCTCTAGCAGACAGATGGTCGTTGCTGGAGGGGACGGGGTGCACGGTCCTTGTGGTCGTACTAGGCTCGAAGAGCGGTTCCATGTACTCAGTGTGGAGCGGACCACGGTCCAGCCACCGCCTTGTGTGCGCTTGATTCCCCAACTACGGCGTGCTTGTGTTTGCCTGTGAAGGAGTGTGGGCCGGCTCCGTTGATGAAGCTTGGCTCCCATCCACATGCCTCCCGGTCTTATTCATTCGGGCTCACACTGGATATGGGATGTGTGGCTGGAGCTGTGTGTGGTGCAGCGCAAGTCACCCATGGTCCCTTTGTAGGTGCAGGCGTCCTGTGGCTGGCCACAGTGACAGGTAAATCCGAAACTGGATGCCGCCAACCATGTAGTCTCAACAGTCTAGCAACTAGACATTGATCCAAAAAAATATGGAGATTAGCAGATAAGGGAAGTCATTGCGTCATAATCATCATGGCATGGTAGTTGACGGTGAACAACACACTTCAGCTACTTTGCGGCAGGAGGAAAGGAACATTTTGAGAAGAAGAACAAAACATTTTTAGTTGTTTTTCCCATGCCGATTTTCCTCTTTTTTGTTGTTTTCAATGTTACAATGTTAACCATGTGAATCGATACAGTTCTGTACACAAATCTTCCACTGAATCCGGTTGCGGGCAATGTCTTCAAGCGTGCTAAGCCATTTGGCACTCCTCATCTTTGGGCCCCATCCTGGAAGACGTAAGGGTCCAACAGTGACTAGACACGACGTCGACGATTTCACGTGCTGTCGCCACGTGCAAGGCTGACCACCAAGCCGTTGCCTCTAGCCAAGTCGTTGACAAACGAATAGAGCGCGGCGCGGTAGAGGGTCAGATACCATGTGTAGGACGTGATCCAGCCATTTCAAATGAC